TTTGTCACATTGTGTTTCATGCTAAGAGGTAGTACTGCTATTGCAGCAATAAATATTCCCATTATTCATTCAGGTGTCCACATAATCCACAACCAAAAAATGCTGCAATAGAAACAACCAGGGCAGGCTCCATCTCCAAACAAGCGCCTGCTGGAAGCAGCAAATTAGGAATGTCAAAATTAGGAATGAGAGGGTCAAGCATGTATAGGACTTGTCAGCACACCAGTCTCCTAAGAGAAGAGCTGTGTGCCAAAGGAACACAGAGAGAGTAGGTAAGCAGAGGATGGGGAGGATGGCTGAGGGGCTTCTTAATCACACACCAAACAGAATTCACATTCTTCCTTTTTTCTCCTTCACTAATACTGTAGCAGGAAGGTCATCTGGTACAGAAGCTCTCTTCTGGTATTTCTGATGCTACATTTTAGCATTACATGATTGAAAGGAGCTCTGCAATATGATGTTGATACTGACAGAATCAACAAAGCTTTTTAAGTGACAAAGGTCCCTTCCAGTCTGGTAATCCTATTCTGTCGTCCTCTCCAAAGACTTCTGCATTCACTACTACTACATTGCCACCCTCTTTCATTCTCTTCTCCTTTAACTGACCACTCTCCTCAGTTTGTGTCCTACTCAGACTTTATCCCTATTTTATGCTCCCCATCCTCCATCCTTCCACTCGCTGGGGCATGATTTCAAGTTTATTTTCCCCTACTTCCTCTCAAAATCCAATCAAGGACATTGCATAAGAAGCTCGCTGAAAGTGAAACTGATGTTATCCTTTACTATCCCCAACGTATTACAAATTAAAAGTGCTTGCCAAAGGGCTGGCCTCATCTCGTTAAAGACTAAGAGTAGTGAAGCTTCTGTGCAAAACTGCATGGACTTAAGAACAGTCAATCAACTGTAAGAGATGTTAGGTAAAGGTAAACCATTAGGTCCCTTTAGGTCTAGTCGCGGACGACTCTGAGGTTGTGGCGCTCATCTCGCTTTATTGGCCGAGGGAGCTGGCATACAGCTTCCGGGTGACTAAGCCGCTACTGGCGAACCAGAGCACTGCATGGAAACGCCGTTTACCTTCCCGCCGGAGCAGTACCTATTCATCTACTTGCACTTTGACATGCTTTCGAACTGCTAGGTTGGCAGGAGCAGGGACCGAGCAACGGGAGCTCACCCTGACCTTCTGATCGGCAAGCCCTAGGCTCTGTGGTTTAGACCACAACGCCACTCGTGTCCCACGTAAGAGATGTTACTGGCTGCCTAATCTCTAAAAGAAAAGGCAAATTCTATGTTACACAGCTGATGATTCTGAAAACAGTACTTGCTGCTTTTGCTACTTCCTTACTATTTGTAAAGCAAGCAGTACAGTTACATGCAAGTAAAGGTAAAGGTGACGTGGGTGGCACTGTGGGTAAAACCTCAGCGCCTAGGACTTGCCGATCGCATGGTCGGCGGTTCGAATCCCCGCGGCAGGGTGCGCTCCCGTCGTTCGGTCCCAGCGCCTGCCAACCTAGCAGTTCGAAAGCACCCCCGGGTGCAAGTAGATAAATAGGGACCGCTTACCAGCGGGAAGGTAAACGGTGTTCCGTGTGCTGCGCTGGCTCGCCAGATGCAGCTTGTCACACTGGCCACGTGACCCGGAAGTGTCTGCGGACAGCGCTGGCTCCCGGCCTATAGAGTGAGATGAGCGCACAACCCTAGAGTCTGGCAAGACTGGCCCTCCGTAAAGGGACCCCTGACCATTAGGTCCAGTCGTGACTGGCTCTGGGGTTGCGGCGCTCATCTCGCTTTATTGGCCGAGGGAGCCGGCGTTTGTCCACAGACAGCTTCCGGGTCATGTGGCCATCATGACTAAGCTGCTTCTGGAAAACCAGAGCAGCGCACGGAAATGCCGTTTACCTTCCTGCCGGAGCAGTACCTATCTACTTGCACTTTGATGTGCTTTTGAACTGCTAGGTTGGCAAGAGCAGTGACCGAACAACAGGAGCTCACCCCGTCACGGGGATTCGAACCGCCGACCTTCTGATCGGCAAGTCCTAGGCTCTGTGGTTTAACCCACAGGGCCACATGCAGGTACTCCCTGCTAATGATTAATTCTCCTAGACTATTATCACAAACCTATTCAACACTGTTGGGCCAATATTGAAATTTCAAACAGGCATGCAATGCAGTTTGAGCAATTGTCTCTAACCACATTTTTTCCACTGTGACACAAATCTAAAATCAGATATTAAATCTGTAGAGTTGAACAAAGTTAACAATAGAAAAATACAGACTTCTGCATAAAAAATGTAATACTGTCCCATTGTTCTTTTATTGTTTGGCTGTAGTGGGAGGATTTCATTCTATTTCCTACCTTTATCTCTTCTTCCCCAAGGTAATCCAATAATCCACACTCAAAATCACCGATAAACAGGCCAATTACAAACCCTTATCAACTTCTGGGAAACCTGTCAGAATGAGCCTCAAGCAAAAAGAAGCTTAACAATTCCTATTAAGTTGTATGCATTTGGAGTCTTCTGTTCAGCACCTCATCTGATGGTATCAGCTGCTTTCCATCCAACACATAATGAGGTTTATGATCATTATGTGGAAAACCTGCAACAGCCTGATTTTTCTATGTGTGAAAACTGATTGAGATAATAGAATAAAATGGTCTCATGCAAAATTTTCACAGATTATGGTTTGCCATATTTCATTAAAATGAGATTCAGTAAAAGATAAATAAATCTGATAATATGTTGAAACCAAAAAAAAACAAAAAACACTGGTACAATTCTATTCCAAAACCCTCTACCATATTTGTTAAGTAAACTGTACTATTCCCACAATAGTTTTTACCCAGATGCACAGAAGGGCTTCCAACATATAAAAGTAAACTCATTGCAAGGATAGTATCAAAGTTACGTCTTCAGTTAATAAATGTGATGTTACAATGTTCCAAAGCCATAATATTGAAAAGGATTTCCTTGTCAGAGATTATTTTGTTCCCACACTCATAACATTCAACTTCAAATGTTAATTACAGCAACAGCTTGGTTCTGCTTCTATTTCTGAAAAGTACATGCAGTTCTCAACCTTTTTAGTCCAATGCAAGATATGTGGCACTTAAAGCAAAAACAAAAAATATGAAGACTACATGTTCTCATCATTAATACAATAAATAGTGGGTAAACTTGTCTGTTTCAAAACAAAAATAGACAACTATTAATGGTGGTCCTCAACTTGTGCCAATTTTTTTTAAAGAGAACATACCCATCTTAACTTGAGAAATTATGTATAATGCACAAGGAGGCAAGATACATCAGAGCTAAGCTGACAAGCAATTTTAGTTTTGTTTTCACTTGCATTTTCTGACCTCCAGTTTTCTGTGAACACTTTTGACTGCACCTTCAAATATGCCCTCTATTTATATGGTAAAAAATTCACCAAAAGCTGGCTTTTAAGGCTCCTGAGAACTGTATATATTGCTGAGGTTGCCTACATGAGACCAGAGCCAGTTCTGCCATTTAGGCAACAGTCCCCAAGGCAACCGCCCCACGGGTTACCTGGTCTAGCAGCATGGAAGTGGTGCCAGCATCAGTGCTGATTTTGGCTAAAATTTTGCCAGAAATCATGTGAAATCTTACTGGTGCTGCTTCTCCGCCAGCAGCGAAGGAGGTAGTGAGGGAGAAGAAGCAGTTCCAGTGGCAGCAAGGCAAGGCGGCACTTCCTGTTTTGCCTCAAGTGGCAGAACGGGACACACTGCCCCTGCACAGGACAATTCAAGGAAACACCAAAGCCTTGGGGACAGGAGTGCTCAACGAGCCCTGTGTGTTTTAGAACAAGCTGTCAGAAGTTCCTGAAAAACTGATCTAAACCTGAATCCAACATCATTCATATGTTTTAAAACAAGGAAATCATGAAAATACATTGAAGATTTGTGGAATTTCTCAGAAGTCCCTCTTTATATTCTCTAGAACCCTTCAAGTCAGCTGCTGGCTGTCATTTTCTTAAAAAACCACCAGTACCTCCTAGGTGGAGCTTGGGGCAGGAAACAGCAGGCATCAGTGGGGGGGGGGAGGTGCTATTCCCCCTCATCACTACATTTGAGGAACTAGGGGAAAAGAAAAATTGCAGCCTCTAGCTTCCCAAAGAAGATTCACTACTGGCTTAAAAACAGCAGCAAAAATCAAAATAAAAAATAGAGAGACCCATTCAGACCACAGTCATCCATTTTATCCAAGCATTGTAAAGAAAAATATACAACTTAAAAGCACACAAAGTAACACAGGCCTTAAAAATTAACTGCTTAAAATGTACTTTGACTGCAATTCTATGCACACTTACATGGCATTTAACAAAGTGTGACTTGCTGAACTTTTTGAACAAAGTGGGACTTACTTCTGAATAAACATGCCTAGACTTGTGCAGTTAGACAAATAAAGTCAAGACACACAAATTTACCCAATGCAATTCTTAACCATGAGGTGTCAGTATATTTAACTCATTAATTTTCCAAACCAATACAAATAAATGCTTACAAGGCTCTAACAATCCATACCTTGATTCTTTAAATATTATATTAGCTAGCCTCGCTTGGCATTAGTTTAATTTAAGCTACTTTATTTTTGGCATCAATATTAAAGTAAAATTGAATCCATCTATGTACATGTATCTCTCTCAGCTATTTTTTGAAATTCCAAACATAACGAGTCCAAAGGAACATATCCTATACTTGATTTATTTCTAATGTATTTTTAATTGATAGCCTTATTGATACCCAGAATTATTTCATAATGATTTCCTACTATAAACTATTAACCAATACCAGAAGAAACATTCAGTGAAGTACAAGGACATGGTGCATTGGTTTACAATGTTAGCTTTTTTGTGCACAATCAACTGCCACACTTAACCTTCATTTCACTGGCCACTGAGAGAAGGAAGACATATTGAAAAACTGTCAAGCCCTATGCAGAGCGCATTGAACAAAATAAAAAGAAGAAATTTCAACTACTTACAAACTTCCCCTTCTTGGAAGGCTCAGTTCCTTCTGCAAATGAAGAAAAAGGTAATTATAAAATGAATTCTAAGCATACAATAAGAATATTTTTCAATCATTTACCTAAAATGCCACATATGAATGGTTCAGACATCTTATTCTAGACTAAGATTTATGTTTTTAAAAATACATTAGTTCTACCCACCCTGGAAGAATGGCAGATGAAGGCGATGGACTATATGGAACTGGCAGAAATGACTGGCAGAATCCGAGACCAGGGAGAAGAGTCGGTGGAAGAAGATTGGAAGAAATTTAAAGACTATCTACAGAAATACTGCAAAATTAATGAATGTTAGAATGATGTTGGAATGATGTTAAGTGGTTTTAGCAGCAATGTTATAAAGGAGTATGTAAAAATGGATTGTTAACAGGTGAGAATCTAAAGTTATAATATATTAAGATAAAGGATTAGGATAAAAACAAAGAGGGAAAGGATTTGCTGAAATAACTAACTGAACCGGAATACAAAAAAGGGAGGTGTGAGGAGGTCAGGGAAACAAGTAAATGAAAGATAAGACATGGAAAGATTGATTTGTTTTTATTTTTCTGTATTTTGTATTTTGTATTTTCTTTTTTTTCTCTCTCTCTTTTTCCTATTTTTGTAACCTTTTCTGAAACTTTAATAAATATCATTTTAAAAAAAATACATTAGTTCTTTGTGCACTATTTAATATTTCAAAGTTGAAAATTGCCTTAAGTGATTGCCTCTTATTTTGTTATACAGTATATGAAACTCTAGTACTTAATTCTGCAATCAGAAATCCCACTGAATGCCAAATCTTTGGGGGGAGCAGCAACTGCATAGTTAACTTGAAAATTCTTGGCATCTAATTACCAGGAAACAGGCAGTTTTCTGTTAATAATAAAATAGAGCCCAGGCAGTTTTCAGTCAGACTCACCTTTATGGCATGTAAAATGGGTCCTTACAAAACATTATATACTTTATTTAAACCCTTAATGCAGGACTGAAGCCCAACTAAACTGTCCATGGCAGAAAAGTTCTTTCCACCCACACAGAAGGCTTTAATCCAGAGGAGGGAAGAAGAGTTGGGGTAATTTTCATCTATTTCCCCCTGCATCTGTTCCACAGTACTCCACAGCGGCTTCTAACTCTTCAGAGGAGATTTCTGGAGGTTGCAAGGGACTGCAGGGGGGAGGGGTGACTTGGCAAAGTATGATCTCCCCCACCAGCAGGAGCATCACCTGGATGGAACGCCAATCCAGGGATGCTCACACTAGCAAAAGCAAAAGGCCAGGATCTAAGACTATATATTTAACACTCACACAATATAAGCTTGCAGCACAGTGAGAGAAAATGTATAGCTCTTGTTGTTGCTGAAGCCACATTTTAAGTATATTTGCCCATCTTTGTTGAATTTCGAAACCTGAATTCAACATCAGATGTATCATTTAAAACAACAGTGTCATTAGGATATTAGGATACATTGGCAATTTGTGGCAGTTCTAAAAAGTAATTTTCCTCACCTTAAAGTTATTATACACAAACACACACCTCATTTGAATTCCAGCACAGCAAATGCTACTTAAACATAAACTAAAATAAAACACGACAGAAAGCGCAAACTAACAATACACTGGTAAAGTTTCTTTCTAAGTTCTATTTTTAATTCTATTTCTTCATATTTTTCATTTATGCATTATAGTTCAGAATATCAAAAATAAATGCTGAGTTATTGTACGCTTGAAAGCATTCAATACACTCAAACAGCAACAAATGTCAATTTCCTTCCCTCTTTTCATACTCTACTGTATATAAATGAAGGATTCCCAGTTACCATCTTATAAAGAATTAATGCCTGAATTTATTTGTTTTCCTGCAAACCACCACCATCCAATTCCTTTTTCTTTTGCATTGCACTATTTAATTTTAAGTGCATGCTGATGGTCTATGGGTTGTTGCTTTTAACCTAGAAATGTTGGGACTTAATAAACTTTTACCCGTGTTCTGAGAAACACAAGGATTTCCTACAAAGGGATTTTGCACAAATGTAACATTTCTTGTGGTGCCACATACTAACGAGGTCTGTTTTGGGGTTAGTCAGAAGAGAATGTTCTCCCCTCTCCTCACCCTGATTTGTTCAGCCTCATATTTCTCTTCCACCTCCACTGTCATGCTATTTAACATATGTCCACCAAGGAAAACTCATCTACCCTCAAATCTAAATTGAAACAAGATAACCAGTGAGGAGAAGCAGGAGAACAAAGGTATATGGATGAGTGTTAGTGTCAAGGGTTTGGGAAGGTGGTCCAGAGAAAGAAACGATTTGGTATGATCCCGAGAGAAAGAATTAGTTTTGAGCTAGTCCCAATGAAGTTTTAAAGCAGGTTATAGTTAGAATAATGTTTTTCTTAGGCTTCTTCCAAAATTAAGCAAATAAAACAAATTATAGGATTTTATCAAACTTTTCATTTCATATTTCAACACACCTATCATTTAGAGGTCTACATCACCAGTGAACACTGAGAGTTCATACAAAGGAACTATTTACTTCCATATACAATAAAGTTGCCTCTACTTAATCGCTTATTTGTAAATACAATATTAGAAGAAATTTAATATATTATGATGTGTAGCTCTACACCGGGGTGGGAAAATGTTTCACCCTAGTAGGCCAGATCTTCATCTCATCCCCACCCTATGGGCTGACTTTGACATGATCCACTTGCATCATGATGACATGAATCATAGGTGAATAATCCAATTCTGTGCTAAACTATTATTTCCCATCTAAGTACTCATATATTGTTCCCTGTATTATGGCTGAACCAACTGGAGTTTCTTCCTGTATAGGCATCTTTCACACATGAAGAAGGGAATAACAACCAAGGTGCATAAATTTAAACAAAACTAAACATATATTTTTTCATATTTATTTTTATTATATTTTAAAAAGTATACCTATTCAGTAAAAGCATATAGTGCTAATAAAGAGGATATGGGAAAGCTGCAAGAATTTTTCACAATTGTTACATTATTTCATCACAGTTGTACAGTCTAATCTGAGTACGACTTAGTTGAATTCCACCCATTATGCCACGGGGGGAGTCAGACCTCAAGTACCTTGATCTGATTAAATGTTTATTCAGCACCATAATTAAAAATCAGGTTTATTTATTGTTAAGAAATTCAAAAGGAAGCAACTTTCTGATTGTCACAAAGGCCAGTCATCCAGCACAGGGCATATATTCCTGTTAGCTACAAAACAGGATTAATGTGTTTCCTCCCAAACTCAATCTGATGGGATAAAATTGTACTTCTGTTCAAAGCACTAGAAATACATTTCACAGTAGGCTCACTGCTAACAATTTTTATGCCTGGCCACACCCAAATTTCCTCTTAGTGTTGCATGACATAATCTTTGGGTAACAAAAGTACAGAAATGTTACCACAATCTGGCTCTCTGAATGCAACATCATTTTTTATCTTGCTATCCAAGTTTTTCCTCTCATTATATGTAAATAATCTCATATAATATTAAGAGGATTTTTAAAAACCTTGATGTAGCTGAGGGAAATATGCATAACTGTTTCAGTAGTTCTTCGCTGCATTAACCATTTAAAAAGCCTTGTTGGCACTGAACTGTGGAGTTTGTGCCTGCTTACAATTACAAACTTAGTGAATAGATTGGCAGACCAACCTACTGAAGAGAACTATAGAAATCATGTTGTAATTGTAGAGCCCTCCTGAAATTTTGAACACTCTTATTGATGTAATTTGCTTTTCTGTATTGATTTGAATGTCACTATATACTAGAGGGGTGCATGGGGTGTGAGGGGAGGGGCTCTCCGTCTGGTGTGGGACACATTGTGCTCCTTCTGGGGTTGTTTGTCCACTTTTGGTCTCCACCCTACACTCAGTTCTCACTTGTGGCTCCTAGAAGCTGTCAGCATGAAACAGTGGCCACACTCTAGGAAACGGTTTTGACTGATAAGATAAACCAAGTGAGGGTAGTTGATGAGTTTCAACCCTTTGTTGAGTAAGGTACTTCCCCTGTATGCGAAGACAGGCTCTGGTGGATTGAGCAGACGAGACCAATAGTGGGTCAAATAGCTAAGAAGGCAGTTTCTGTGTGTGCTGTGGAGGGAAGTTAGGGGCAAATGGGGCTAATCAACCTGGCAAGGTAGCCTCTGATCCTAAACCTCGGGTATCTTCAGAAGAAGAAAAGGCTGAGGAGTAAACCCTACACAAATCCAGAGTGGAGTTTCTAAGATGGTTGGATGGGGTCTTGTATGCCTCAACCTGGCAACTCCTGCAGCCAAGCTGGTGCCAAACATTGCTCTGCTTTCCTTTGGACCACGTCAGGGAGGTCAAGAGTGGTGTCTTGTCATCTGCGCAGCCCAGGACCTCCATACACACTGCCCAGGCTTGCGCCCAAGAGAGGTCACTTCAGTGCTGCTAATGCACTGGTCTGACTTCACCCCCGGAGGCACACTCCCATGTCTCCCAAGACAGATGCCAACAACAGTATACTAGAGATGTTGGAGAATTCCAAGAAATGGAAGCAGAAACTGCCAATGTTCACTTATTCATCCTATGTCTGTAATGGAAATCAACCCAGTAAATATGAGCAGTATTCACTTTTGTTGCTGTCTGCAAACAAAACATAAATTAATCCTTCCCCCTCCCCATTTGCATTATTTCCTTTTCATTGAAATGAATGAAATGAAATAACATTGTTGTTGTTTAGTCGTTTAGTCGTGTCCGACTCTTCGTGACCCCATGGACCAGAGCACGCCAGGCACCTCTGTCCTCCACTACTTCCCGCAGTTTGGTCAGACTCATGCTGGTAACCTCGAAAACACTATCCAACCATCTCGTCCTCTGTCGCCCCCTTCTCCTTGTGCCCTCCATCTTTCCCAGCATCAGTGTCTTCTCCAGGGAGTCTTCTCTTCTCATGAGGTGGCCAAAGTACTAGAGCCTCAGCTTCACGATCTGTCCTTCCAGTGAGCACTCAGGGCTGATTTCCTTA